TCAGTTCTGAGCCATATCACATAGAGTCCCCAACCACTGGTTTCTCTTGTCCAGCGGACCCCAACCACTGGTCTGTATCGCCCTACATGGCTCAAACCAACAGTCAAAGACTTTATACGTTGATGCTCTTTTGGTCTGGCCGCCTTGAACCCTTTTCCAGTCTGAACCTACTTCGGCCGCCATTGTGCTACAAGGCAGACGGTGACTAGGCATAAGTAACACAAACCCCAACCATCCGAGACAATGAAGGTTCACAACTGACTTACCTCTTTTCCCTAGAACTCTACACCTGACTTTGCGTTACTCACGTGGTGTCACCACGGAATACGACCTGTACTACGAAGGCATCGGTGGCCAAACACCTGAAACCGCCTTCTCATGTTTTCCACCTTCAATGGCCAAGTTTCACAGCCATACAGTAGAACAGGGCAGACTCCTGTGCAGTACACGCAATCCTTGGTAGACAATCGGATACCACGGTGGTGTAAGTTGGCGAAAGTCAACCGAGCCTTTTGTATTTGTGCAGAGATTTCATCGGCCACCAAGGCTCCCCAGGTAAGTGAATTGGTGGACACACTCAACCACCACACTCTATTGTTAGCCGTGGCACTGTTGAAGACCAATCCTGGAACAACAATTTGCTTTTTGGATGGTGAGGAACGCATCTCAAGCATTCTCAAATTTCCATTCAAAGTGTCCAGAAGACTCTGCATCTTGTCAGTGTCTTCACCTAACAGGATTCTATCATCTGCATATTCTTGGTCTAACGAGAATTGAATTTGGGAGGTTTATGGGAATTTAGAGATTTTTCCAAGTTGGTATTCATCGTGGACTGACATCAGTTGGGGAGACATCTCTAAATCCCCACAAACCTCCCAAATTCAACTGAACTAATGCTCATTGGTGACTAGCTTCGAGAGGTGATTCCCGAAGTTCCAGTGAGAAGTTGTGACCAGTGGGGCAAACCTGGTGGCCGTGAGGACAAATACCCAACGACGACATTGAGTGGCGGTCGCGCTGTCTTGAACTGACAGGAGTTGAAATATGGATTATTGGACTCCGACCCAGTGGCTCAGTGGTAAGGTGCTGGCCACGGGACCTGAAGGTCGCGGGATCGTGGGTGCGCACTGCTGAGGAGTTCCATACTAGCACAAAACGGGTGTCCAATACTTCCAGTTTTCCGTTGTTCCTCCAACTGGTGTCAGTTGACGATGAATACCAACTATCGAGAATTCTGCTTCGATTAGGTCAACCTCTGTGTAGTCAAGTGACGAGAGGCAGACCTCTATAAGAATATCTATGGTAAAATTGAATAAGAATGGGGAGAGTGGGCAGCCTTAATTGGACACCACTTGATAAGTACAGTCCTCCGGACATCTCACCATAGGCTGTAACACACCTGCAAGTGTTCGAGTAGAGAGCCTTCAATAAGGTGATGTACTTACTCGGCACGCCTTTCAGTGAGAGACATTGCCATAAGACTTCTCAATCAACGGAGTAGAATGCCGCCTTCAGGTCGAGAAATACAGCTATAGTCGGGCGCCGGTAAGCGTGCCTGTGTTCCAGAAACTGGCGCAGTGTGAATATTTGGTCCTCTGTGGTTATCACAAGAGAACTTCTCCCCTTTCTTGAAGACAAGAATAATCAGTGATATAGACCAGTCAGAGGGGATCGTATTTGATCCCCACATACTAGTTAACACTTCCGTTAACCTAAGAGCACCTTACCACCATCCTTGTATTATACCTCAGGAGTTAGTCCATCTGGTCTTGCTACCCTTCATCGTTTCAAGTTACCTACAGCTTTCTCGACTTTGGCAGGTGTTGGTATTCCATTCAGGGTCCGACTAGATAGTAGGCAACACAATGCTGGTGCTATGGCACCACCACATGGGTAACACAGAAGTCAGTCGAGGAGTTTGTGAATCTTGAATAACTAAGGTATCTGTGACGTGTTAAACACGCCTGGTAACCCTGTGTGTCATCTCACACCTTAAGCTGAAATAGGTTGAGGCTGAAAGATGACTGAAGGCAGCTAAGCTAAGGGGTGCCATCAGTCAGTTAGTGCAGTCTTTAGCAATTGATCTAAGAAATGTTGACCTGGCGGTTGGTGTGCACGTGGCAACGGGAACCAACCAGTGGTTGGAGACTGTAGATGATGTGACTGGGAATCGATTTAAGTGGAGCACTTGTATCCACACTACCTTCATCTTGTTCATTAATATGAGTGAATTCAAAATTTTCTTGTTCCTTCATGTTATCCTATCACAGCTTTCTACCGCTTTAAGCCTCTTTCTTCTGTATTTCTTTAACTTCCATCTTAGTGCATCCTCATTTAACTAGCTGATATGGCAACGTGGTCCGTTGGACAGTATTGCTAGGTCAAAAGTTCATCACACTGTCTGTCTGTATTGTTGCTACTTGATTTTAATAAATATCGACTGGCTGTTCCATTTTATGATTACCGAGTTCAATTGTTCTTCCTTATGCTACTCATCAGTAGTCAGAGACCTAATCAATGGATGTGACCACCTTTCTCATTCTCGTCTTATTCCAGCTCTTCTGGAAATCACAACCTGACGACAACGTATAACAGTTGTACTTCAGAAAAAAGTGAACATATTTTGATATGTACGTATCTGGCCGGTGTCTAAGGTGGTTTTGGTCTGCTAATGCCTGCTGGATTTTAAGTATCCGTACTCACAGTCAGCAACTACCTCATTGTATCTGATGCAACCTCTGTGTAACTCAGCGACAATATGGATGTTTTTGCTCTAGGATTTTAATTACAGTTATCATGTGAGAGCTTATGTGAGTCTGACTGACTAAACGTCGTTAGGTAGAGCGTGATTCGAACGTCTGACCCACCGGTTAAAGTTATCACACTAGAGTAATGAGTTGCAGCTCAACGATTGTGAAAGGGTCCAAACAAGTGAATGGGTGAGCTTACTCAATTGCTGTGGTTTTCACTCATTATTGACTAGGCAATTGGTCACGAGTTTCAAGCCTGCTCTATTTGCTGAAGTTTGAGCAACAAGGAGTTAATGAAGAGAATTACAATGGAATGGTGGAGATTTTCCTTTCAACAGCTGCAGGCTGTAGTGATGAAAATATTATACCTTACAGTAAAATCTGATTAGTAAAAACTGTCTATTGCGATGTACAGTTTTCTCACACTCTATAGTTTCACTCCATGTAGTGTCTTCTCTCCTGAATATTATCTGGTCAATAGTTACCATTTTTTGTGTTTTTCGATATTGCATTGCATACTACTTATAAGTAGCTTTCACTACAGTGCCGCATTCGTCGCACTTGCAACTCATTTCCTAAAAGACTAATTTGCACATATTTTTTCCCTATTTCTAAGACAGATAAACACCAATGATGAGTCATACTGCATGTGCCAGGTGCGAAACGTGTTGCAAATATACTCTAATTTTTGTTCAAGACGTTCACCATCTTCATTCAGTGGGATAATATCGTGTGTTTACTTTAAGCTGATTAGATGCTCACTGGGAAGCATATCATTCTGAAAGAGACGGAATTTAAAGAGGATCGCTTCCACCAATCTATCTGTGACAAAACTGAATCGGAAAAGTGACAGGGGAAATCCATTGTTGATGCCATTGCTCACCGTCATCTAGACAAACCTACTCGAAGCTGAGTGGCTTCGAGCAAGAAGTCCAGTAATATGGTACTTGTTGGGAACTACCGTCATGATAAGATACTGATACGACACCTGTCTACGGAATCCCATGTCTAGGTCAACAAGTATAGAGTCCTCAGGCACCGGCGATTATGTATATATACGAAAATCTGGCAAATGATGAAGTTCTAAGTCAAAGGAACAACGTTTATTACTAAAACGTAGTTGGTTCCCTTCATTTTACTGTTTCAAAGCTGCAGTTAGTTGTTGTTGGAGAACTGATGTTTTTTGTCTCATTCAGCTCGAAGCAAATAGAAAGCATCTGTAGCTCAATTGAATTGTTCTATTAAGTGTGTTGTCTTACTTTTCTTAGTAGGTGCTCTTACCATCATCTTTTGTTAGCCATTCTCTGAAAAAGCTAAATAGCTATCGATGGCATTTTTCAGCCCACCTCTGCTTGCAATCATCGCAGTAACCCTTGATCAGTGTGCGCTTAAGCAGTTCTCATTCACCTTCATAGTCAAAGCCAGTGGAAACCACCCTTCTTTTTTCAGTTAGTTGGGAAGAGACCGCAGAATTCCCATGACATCTACTGATATGCACTTGCTTTTTACTAGTTTTTAATATTGTTTACTCAGCACTAGATATAAAGCTATGCCACGTCAAAATGGTCATCACTTGCATGTTCCAAGAATTTCCTTGTCAATATTTAATGGTTATGCAACCAACAAGCATTTTCAGAGTAGTCGGTTTGGTTGCTAACCAAGCCTGTTGTATGCGGGTTCATGATGCATTCTACTTATGGTAGCGTGTTGGTCCTTGACTCCTCAGTTAAAAGTGGAGTATCTAAGCCAACAGCAGTTCCACAAACTTCTTGTTATATCCCTAAGTACAGAATTAATCTCTTTTCACAAAGGTTGCAGATGCTTCCCATCTGTTTTTATAGGTGAGCTTTTCTAACCTCTCCTTCCTAGAATTGGAGGGTTCCACAGCTGAAATGCTGGTCATTTGAGAGGAATATTACTTTATCACCAATTTGCTCCCCAGTCAGCAATGCAGTACCGTCTTCACATCCAAGTCTTAATGTGAGTTATTGATATGTTAGTGGTAATTGCTTTCCATTACACTCCTACCTTACTGACCTTTCTGAAAGTAAGACTTCAAAAATAACCGTTTCAACCAACGGAGCTCAGCTTTTCACGAGATGAAATTTTACTGACATCGGGGTATCAGCTGATAGGATTTACTTCAAGCACGCAAATAATAACCTTTATATCACATTTCTGATAGTTAATTTAGACTTTTCATTTGTTTGTTTGAACTAGAGTGTGTGGTGTATTTGTCTTATCTGTCAGATTATTTTATGAATCAATCTGAGGACCTCAAAGAGCGTGTACGTGTTCTTCAGCAAGAGCTTGAAAGGAAACGTCTACTTCTTCAGGTATTTGATTTTTGGCCTGATATTTATTTTCAGAAAGCTGAGAAAAAGCCAAAGTCTGCTTGTATTCGCCGTTCGAGCACTTTGTTACCTGTTGTCGAAGAGACATCTTCTGAGGTAAGCGTTCCTGAATGTTCTGGTGAATTTTTATGTGATGAAAACGTTACTGTCACCACAGCGAATTTCATCAATATTAAATCTTTGGAATCGAGCGAATCATCGATGCAAGGTATATTTATTCAGCCTGTCGATCAAGAATGCTGTAAACGCATAGCATCATGTGTTTTTGGATCCTGTGTTCCACTCCTGGATACTGTGTTAATTAGTTTGTATGACTCTGATCATGTGCTTAGCTTGTTCTTACTCTCACTATGTAACTTTGATTCTCAGTTGTTATGGGAAAAGAGGTTGTATGTCTCCAAAGTAGTACTACTGGAAACAGTTGTACTCCCGAAATGTCCCGGTGATGAATATATGAAAATCGGCATCTTGTTGGCTGAAAAACATTCATCAAACAATATACCAGTCGTAGTCTTATCTTTGTTTATCTTTTCTGTTCCAATTTCTTTCAACTTCCAACTCAATAACGATTTGTATCAGTCATACCTGATAGATGTTCAAATCTTTCCTTTATTGAGTGAAAATATTCACAAAAGTGATATTCATTCTTCAACCATTGTTTATGATTTCTGTACCAATGATAAAAACGATTTTATGTTTATATTGTGTGTTCCCGATCTACTTTCATATGCTGTTTTTCAACTCTCATCTGACGGAAGATTCTGTCTAGTTCCTATTTCATATCATCATGTAATGGGTGTCTATCAGCCGAAACTTAATTCTTGGTTCACTGCTTTAAGTCACTGTTCAGAAACGTCACCATCGTTGACATCACAGCCAATTTTTATTCTGGGCATCCATTTCAGTCCATCATCAATGGAACTTGTTGGTTATCTAATACGCACGAATAACAGTGATAAACATGTTTTAACTGACTTTTCATCAGAACAGTTCATGTTCAGTAAACTAAGTCAGGATACATATTTAAGTGTACCTGTCAAACCATGTTCTAAACTCTTACTAACTGTATCAGATAAACGATCGGATTTTTTAATATTTTCGATCCTAGTAAGAAGCTATTCACTACATTCAACATGTATTTATTATTTTACTATGGGTGTTGTGTCAATAGTAGGTGGTAAACCTCGTGGGTCTGTTCTACGGCTAATTCCCATATATACTGACCATCAGGATATGCACGGATTAGAGTTAGGCTGGAGCCTTTTCAGTTCACACAAAACACAATACAGTCAGTGCTTGTTAAAATTTATGTCTTCGTCGTCTGAACAGAAAAACTTAATTATTAGTACTTGGTCTGTGGACAAACTAGTTGCACATTCTTGTGATATACTATCCGATGATGTTATGCAATTTTCTTTTAACCTACCTGAGGTTACTAATCCCTTAACTTTATTCATTTTGTATAATTCCACTCAAATTTTTTCTAATCAAATCTGTACGTTCTATTATAGTCGTAATCTAAATAAAATTATAGAATTACGCAGTTCGTAAATATTGTTCTTTGGTTTTCTTTTCAGAGAAAAGTATGCAAATTGAGAGAACATTCGAATATTTTTTTGTAATAAAATAGATTATTAAATACAAGTTATATTTGTATAAATGTAAGGATTGTTCCACTGAAGAAGCTCTTACCAGACTTCCGTGCAAAACGTTGATTTATACAAATGTCATTTACGTCCGGTCAAATCTTGACCAGGATATATATATATATATATATATATATATACATATATATATATATATATATATATGAGAAGTAATTTGACAGTTGCTTCAACACTACGGTTTTAATGCCACAAACCTTTATCAACCTCATTCAACACCTATATGATGAGATGATGCTATATGCCAAGTGATTCACTATAGAAAGCTCAGTGACGCCTATGAAGTGAAGACAGGGGTAAGACAAGGTTGCCTACTATCACCGATGATCTTCCTGATTGTGGTCGACTGGACTGGACTGGATTATGCAACAAACTGTGAGTAGTTGTGTGAAGATGGACATACGCTGGACCGATGAAAAGATCCTAGACGATTTGGATTTCGCTGCCGATGATGATGATTTATGTCTAGTGTCGCAAATGCTCGAAGATGTGCAGGCGAAAACTAGCAAATTGGCAGAAGAGGCAAGACAGCGAAGACGGGACTTCAAGTGAATGTAAAGAAGACAGAGGTGATGAAGACACCCAACCAACAACAAGCACCAATCACCATCAACGGGAAAAACCTAAAGGAAGTAGCCTCTTTTACCTACCTAGGCACCATCGTTTCAAATACAGACGGGGGTGGCACAGATGAGGACGTCAATGCCAGGATCAGAAAAGCAAGACAGCCCTTCATTAATCTGAAATCAGTGTGGAGATCTACTACACTGCGCTGCACTCAGCATAAAGAACAAGATCCGGATTTTAACACTAATGTGAATTTAGTGCTTCTATGTAATGGTTCAGAGACTTGGCGCGTTACGAAAAGTATTTCCAACAAACTACAGACATACGTGGACAGCTGCCTACGCTCGGTACTGAAGATCAGATGACCAGAAAGAATAAGCAACCAGGAACTCTGGCTGGGTGGCAACGAACCAACCAAGAACCTATCACTCAACAAATATGCAGAAGAAAGTGGAGATGGATTGGGCATACACTGAGAAGGCCGACTGGGGACATCACGCGCCAGGCCAGTTCCTCGAGTGGAACCCAGGTGGGAAACGATGAGTGGGGTGTCCGAGGTGAGGTTGACATGGAGATCATGTGAGGAAGAAATGAAAGCTTGTCGGCAGTGGCAGAGCTAGGTTGAAAAGACTACAGAAAAGAGAGTGAAATGGCGACGTGCTACTGAAGCCCTATGTTCTACTTGGAACCTAAAGAACAAATAAAACTGTTGACAAACTGAAAGGTGTCCTGGACACTATATCTGACTAGTTTATAATTGTATAACGTGATGGGAAGTTATTGAAAAGAATATTCTTCGTTCATATATACTTTTGTAAGAAAAATTGTCAGGAAAACTGGAAAGGTCATTCCTGTGTAGTTATTATATGAAGTCTATTTATGTGCATGGTCGGGGTTAACATACAGGCTGAATAAACTTTTGAATAGTTTCAGCTTTTTGTGATGAACGCCAATAGACTACGCTGCCTTTCTCAACCGGATAGGTATCAGCACCGGCTGTAACTTACACAGCGAAACGTTTACAAAAAGCTATTTGTTGATTCTCTAAAACAGTTTACACTAAAGAATTTTTACAATACTGAGTTAATCGTTGTAGACTACTATAATGCTAGATGCAGTACTTTCCAGTTTAGTTTCTTCGCTTCTCCATGTATCTCAAGTCTAACGCTCTGTGTCCAATGTTCGTTTAGTACCAACCTACCTAACAAACAGGAGGTTAAGAAGCACAAATACTGAGACTGGTCGTCAAACAACCAATACATAAATTTCAGAAAGGACCCTGATTACATGGCATAGAATGCCTGTTCAGTTCTGTCCATTGGGTAAATAGCTACATATCGTGTGATAGCTGACGATATTACATAGTAGCGAAAACCTCGGTGGGTTTAAGGTGTATAGCCCTAACCCGTTGGTTGAGAGTCACAGGAGAGAAGTGAGAGACTAGAAGTAGACTAACCGGTTTTTTTTTTCAAGGAACGATAGCCAACTGACTGTACTGTTCAATAGGTTATGGAAAACTCGGTGTTCTATTTTTCTGAAGTTAAACTGCTTCTGCACCTATTTTCGTTACACAATATTAACCTGTTAGCCCTGCGTCGAGAATCTTGACAGTTATCTTACCTTGTTGTGTTGTGCTTGGTGAGCTACCAGCTACTTCTTAGTGCAACGATATCCGAAATTGAATTGGGTTTCGTAGGAAGTAGGCTCAGGTGGACCAGATCGAGATGTGGGATCAACCCACGAGGCCTATGTTAGTCTTAACCGTGTTGGGAAGTGCTGACTCTTTCGTTAGGGTCGCCGAGTTGATCGGAATCAATGTTCAGAGATCCTCGGTGACACGCTGGAAACTAGTCACACTCGTGAAGATTTATCCAATCTTTGATAACTTCCAGAGTGTGCAAATTTCATTTTTCAAATTCTTTCTCTCCCCCTTCCCGCCCCATACATTTCGGTTTACCTTGATACTAGTCTTTTTCTATCCACTTACTTTTGCATGCTACTGCGAGGAGTGGCAGCGCTGATTTTGTTTGTCTTCGTATGAATTATTTAGTGTAAGGGAGTATATAGTGTTGTCCGGTCCTATTTTAAGGTTAAGTGTTGTCTTCCCCGCATTTGCTGGTTTCTTTTTCTTTTGAAGAGGATCGTCATTCCCCCAATGTAGTTACTACAAGATTTTCTCATTCTCCTGAACGTCGCCATCGTGGGTCGCGATATAATTCGTCCATTTCCAGATCCCCTTCAATGAAACATTCTCGTGGTGAATATCATAATGATCCATATCGGTCCTCAAACTCGCGTTCTAAAAATCATCCTAGTCGTCGTCGTTATAAATCGCCAGAGATAAATGGTAGAGATTTCAACTTGGGAAAACATGATCGATCAACTATTTCGTCGAACTCACCGAGACGACGGTTTCGCCATTCGCCTGCACCACCAAATAACCCTAACTCTTCCTATCGTCGATTTGAACGTGATAGGATGACCCGTGACAATAGACGATTTCGTGCTTTCTCTCCTGCTCTGAACAGAAATCCCCATCATCGACTTGGCATAAATTCATCAAAGGTATCTGGTTCACGCTTTAATCGTGTTCACCATCAACGCAGATTTTAATATTGTCAGTTCACAATGTTGTACAGCTTTAAATCTTCCACATATTTATTCCAAGAACTAGAGAAAAAACTCAGAAGTATAATCTATTTTTTATTTTGACTACTTATATTTCTTTCACTTTAACAAATGGCATCATAGTTAGTTTTCGAGCATTCCGAGTTTATTTTTTATTCCTGCATATTAATGCTGTTTTCCCTAGTTTGTCTGTTTTGTGTGTATTACTGCTGTCCATTGTTTCATTTGAAAGTATTTTTTTCGAAGGGGACTACAAGGTAGTGTATTGAAAGCTGTGTTTACATGTAACACTACTTAGTTCCTTAGTTAGCCAATCATTTGAATTTATACATTACTGTTACTACTATTTCAGTTCCCGTTTAGTCTTTTCTTGTCAATAAATCCCGCTGTATCTATTCAAACTGAAATACGTGAAAAATTGAAACTCAACTGTGAACGAAGAATGTTCTTTTCAACAACTCACTAGGTTATACAGTTGTAAAGTCAATTTCGTTAACATATTAATAGCCAGAATTTACGACGAATGCTTTTAAGAGTGGGTACGGAACTATGATCAAAATTTGATTCTTTAAGATTGTGGGTGGTAGTGTAACTTATGTAAACTTTGTCAATTAATTGGTGATCAGACGTATAGGGAAGGAAAATTATTAATAAAGTTCAAGGTTGCATTGTATCGAGTCAGTGATTAGTACGAGGAATGACATGAATTTACCTAAGGGCAGAAATGAGGTGGATATGTCACCATAAGATGGCTAATATGTGAAACGACTAAGATAATAAGAGTAGTAATACTGTGAGAGAGAAAATGTTCACAGAAATTCAAAAGGTTTATTATAATAAGACGTGAGGAGAGACTGGTTAACAATAATAGCAATAATTACAAGCATATCCATAAATAGTAAAACTAATATCGGTTGCACAAGACGTGACTGACTATCAAGCCTCCGTGGCGTAGTGGGTAACGCTTTGGTGATTGGATCTATGGCCACGAGGTTCGAGTTTCAGTGGAAACAACATCACTCATCGAGGTACAGATACACCCAGCTGACGAGTTCCAAATAGGACGGAACGCGCATCCTGGACTCTTTTACCAGCCAGCCACAACGAAGTGAATCACCGTAATTTTACTTTTCATTACGTGGAAGAAAAGAAGAGCGGGAATGGAAGCAGAAACCAAAAAACATTAGGAAACAAACAAAAGGGTTGAGGAAATACTGTTTAGTCAATGGGAAGGCCAAGGGAGGACCCTGATTACATGGCATAGAATGCCTGTTCAGTTCTGTCCATTGGGTAAATAGCTACATATCGTGTGATAGCTGACGATATTACATAGTAGCGAAAACCTCGGTGGGTTTAAGGTGTATAGCCCTAACCCGTTGGTTGAGAGTCACAGGAGAGAAGTGAGAGACTAGAAGTAGACTAACCGGTTTTTTTTTTCAAGGAACGATAGCCAACTGACTGTACTGTTCAATAGGTTATGGAAAACTCGGTGTTCTATTTTTCTGAAGTTAAACTGCTTCTGCACCTATTTTCGTTACACAACATTAACCTGTTAGCCCTGCGTCGAGAATCTTGACAGTTATCTTACCTTTCAAACTCATAGGAAGCTTATTTGTCAGGTGTGTGCCAGGTTTCGTTGAGGTTGCGGATGCATAACTTTACACCAATAATTTTCCGGATGCTTCAACAATACACGGGTTGCAAACCAACAACTGTTGTTTTTTGGTAACTGGGGTTGCCCTCAATTTCTTTGACAGAACTGTGTGATTGTATGAACTGTCAGAAATTATTCTCACTA